CAGGGTAAGAAGCAGGTTGGCAGAAAAGGATCTGGAGTTCTCCTGGACAAAACGATGAACATGACTGCAGCACCTAACTGCAGTGACAAAGGCTAGAGCTACATACTAGCCCATACTAGAGATGCATTATTAAAAGTATCGGGAGCAGGTCAAGAGAAGGGATTATTATCTCCTAGTCAATGCTTGTGAGTATATATTTAGAGTACTTTGTCCAGTTCAGGACTTCTCTGCACAAGAAAGGCACTGACATACTGGAACAAGTCCAGCAGAAAGCTGTTAAGATGATTAGGAGACTGGAGCACATGATGTGAGGCCAGGAGCTGAATTTGTTCAGTCCTCAAAAGAGATGCTCGGGGGAAAGTATTAGTGGCACCTTCAACTACTCAGTGGGAGGTTACAAAGATGGAGATAGAATTGTTGGAGGTGCAAAGCAAAAGCACAAGAGGTAAGAATCACATTAAATACAAGGGAAACATTCTTCTCACTGAGAAGCTTAAGAACAGGTCGTCCAGGGAGACTGCATCATATCTATCCTTATGGATACTCAAAGCTCAGCTGCACTGGGCTCTGAGCAGCTTAACACAACTTCACAGCCACCACTTTGACTGTGAGTCTCCAGAGATCCATTCCGTCTAAATCATTCTATGATTCTGCTGTCCTCTACTCCCTTCCTTTACATTTGTTAAATTAAGACGTGTTCTCCATTTCTCTCCTTTGGCTACATCTGTTCTTCATGCATGTAATATATTGTTCTGGCTTAATTCACACCGTATAGTTTAGGTTGGAAGTTTATCTTCCATAATCACTTGTGATAAACTAGCTTTGAAATTGCTGATGACAACAAATGTGAAAGAATTAAGCAAATAGTGCACATATAAACAGGCAAAAATGCATTAAAAAACATCTTCAGAAATGCCTCCCTATTTAGGATTAAAATACTGTTAGCTACATTTTGGCATGTAGAAGGACTGAGGGAAAACGCATTCATTTAAAGAAATGATTAAAAACACAGTGCAACAGTTCAGAAATTGGATTAAGCTAGATGCAGCTGAGATCTTCAAACTTAGTTTTAACCAAAATTGCAACTGAAGCTTTCAATTTATAATCATGCCATTGACCTTCCTCCCCCTCTCCCTTTTCTTTTTGGCCACTGAAGACCATTGAAAGTATCAGAGCTCCAAGTCAAGAACAACTCCCTTGTAACTATGGATCTGACGTGGATATAGCAAGAGCAGATTGCCTGCAAGGAAGCAAGAATAAACCAGCTATTTAGAGAGGTTATGTAATGCAGCACAGAGCTGTAAAATAAGATTTAAAGAGACAGAACTCTCCATTTCAGCCCTGTAAGTACCCATAAAAGTTGGGCACTACTGCAGCAATTTGAAGAAGCCCAGACAACAAAGAAAGAAGCCTTGTCAAAGGTTCCCTCTCTGAGCTGGTATTTTATTTGCAACTCTACTTTCTCACAGAAACAGCATCTTGTGGCTATTTTTTCAAACCTTATAAAGCAAGCTGAAACACCTCTTTGTACCATCCCATGGATGTGCAGACTCTTACAGCAAAAGTGAGCTCTATAGCAGCAGAGATGAACCATTTTTGCAGGCCTGAAATTAAGGACCTGGTGGAGCTTCACACGTTCAGTCAGCACAGAACAGCACACTGGAAATCAAACTGATGATGAACAAACACAACAGTATTAAGCCTTCCTTGCATGCATATTTTAACAAGTATAAACAAGACTCCCACTTTCATAACTGCAGCCAATTCCCAACCAAACTCCCACAAACATCAGCTGGTTCAGTAGAAAAAGGCAGAGAATACAAACTGCCAGGCACCACCACCTTATAAATAGCAAAGAAAAAGAAAGCAAAGGCGTGTGTGTTACAGAGACTGGCTTTGTGTACGAGACATCCTTACACACCTGGAAACTGTAAAACTTTGAGGGTTTGCTCATGGCTGCACTGAGAACATACATGTAAATATCAACACACAAAATAATGGTTTTGCAGGAGAGTCTGGAAGTGTCCAGCAGTTGTATGGAGATTTTACTGTGGCATTTCTTCCCTTTCAAATGAAAGGAAAAGAAAAAATCCACATAAATGATTACTTTAGGTATTCTAATGAAAAACTGTTTTTCATCTAATTCTGAACGTCTTTTAATTACAAGCCTCAAAAACCAGCAGCATCATACATTTAGCCAACCCCAGCTGCTTTACTAGTGATTAAATAGGAGACAGTGAGGCCAAACCACCTCCCTTTCACCTCCCCTGAAAAGACAGACATTACAGATGGGAAGAACTTGGCCCGAGCTACATGCAGGAGGAAGGGAAAGTAGCAGGGGGACTGCGGTTTTTTTTTCTTCATAAGAAATAACAAGTTCCTGCTTCGCTGCTGGACTTTTCCCCGGATCATGTCAAGCTTGCAGGTTGCTGGCAAGCAGAGCAGGCACGCTCAGAGACCTGCCAGCACTCCCAGACCACACACGCGCCTCTCCCAGCTGCTCTCAGACACTGGGGACAAGCTCCGGAGCTCTGCCGCCCGCTGCTGCTTCCCACCCTGTCTGGCTCTTCCTTTCAGCAGCAACCTATGCAGAGCTCCACATGGAAGAAAATCGTGTATGTATACACTGACCTACAGCCCTGACCTGAGCATCAGCAGTGGATCCTGAGGAACAGACCTCCTGGAAGCCATGGGAAGGGCGCTTACAAGCTGTGCTGCACGCTCATCCTGAGAGCAGCTCGTTGCACCTGCAACTTGGGGAACTCTGGCAGTGCAACCACACTGAGAATACCAGCAAATAAATAATTAGCACAGTAATTCTTCTGATCAGCACAGTACTCCAGGGAGAGCTGATTGTTTTTAATACAGCCATCTATCAGTGCACCTCAGCTTTACACAATGAACAACCTCACACATTTTCTTTTAGACATGCACAGTAAGTTCGTTTACCTTGCTACACTTTCAAGTGCAAATACAATGGATATTAACACAAGTTTAAAAAATCATGATCATGGGCACAGAGTGACAGGGTGAGATTCTATAATCTCATTGTCGTAGCTCCATTTGTAATTAAGAACTACATAAAGCTAAAAATGTGTTTAAATGCAGCAGACAACCAGCTCATGATAGAGCAGCAGAAGGAAGGGCCTCTCCAGCCCCAATTGCTCTACCTGCAATTGCAGCTGCTGTTGTCGTGCCCTGGACAAAACAAGCTCATGGAAAGAAACTTTCTCAGATTGGCAGCGTGACAAATTCAGGTTGGCCTCAGAAATCAAAGATCAAATGCCTTCATTGTTTTATTGTTGTTGTTTTTAATATAACGGATAGCCACAAAAGAAGGAAAACCATAAAGAGCCTCAAAGTGGTAAAGCTAAAAAGAATTATTTTCCCCTTTGTGAATGGTTTGGTAGACAATTTCATTTCAAACAATATCTATGATATCTTTCTCTGATACACTACGTACAATGAGGGGATCTGGAGAAGTGCAGCACACACAAAACCTGTTGTGATGGAAGATGCTCAGACATATTACATCCCCAGAAGTCCAGCCAGGAAAGAAGGCAGGTTTAGCTTCCAGAATAATGCCCACATTTGGTTTAACTCCAATTACTGAAATGGGTTTTTAAATGATGCCTACACTCCCAAGAAGATGACAGCATTTTCTCACCTCAGCGTTTCATTTTTCCACAATTAAAGTCAAGTAACTGAGCAGTTCCTACACACAACCAATTTATTATTAAAATGCCTGCACAAAATTACAGCTACGATTAAAATGCCTTCATGAGATGACAACTCTAATACCATAAAAGTTGTTCTAGTGGTTTTATTCCACTATTCCAGCGTAGTTGATACAGACACTCTCAGAATTCACAGCCATTTCAGACATGACACCGAAACCTGCTCACAAAGCATGAGACTTACTTTGTCAAATAAACAGGGCTTGATACTTGGTACAAACAGCAGAATAAAACAGTCTGGATAGCAAACAGCTGCATAGGGCTGATCAAAGCAATCTGAGTATATTTCAATACCGCAGATCAATCTTACCATTTCTGTAATGATGCAGACAAAATATTGAAAGCATAACACTGATCTGATATCTATGCAGACACAGCATCACCCAAGACCTTATTTTTTTAGTTGTAATGTTTAAGATTCGAATTGAAGAAAATGCCTTTATATAAAATACCCCCCCCAAAACAAAGCTTCACTGCTATGGTGCTATTACATCCCCTGCTTAATTACACATCAGCTCCTACATCTTTCATATAACAGTCCATCAGCCGTCATCTCCAGGAGTTATGAAACAAGAGTATTAATTATAAAAAGACAACTCCTGTCCACTGTTAAACACCAGCAAATTGGAAGGAACTGGAAGACCATTTCTGGAATACAAGCTGTTTTTATTCATCCTCTTCAAAGACTGTACATGAAGAAGATTTCAATTGAAATGTATAGCTTGTAATGAGAACAAACATTCTCTGGACACCAAAACCTTTCTCCATATTTCCTTTCTCAGTTCAAGAGTCACCTATTAAGAATGCAAGTATTTTTTAAGTGTGTTACTACAGGTATTGATTACTATACGTGCATTGCTTTGCTCTTACATAAAAACAAAAGCATTTGAGCACTCATAGTTAAAAATAAACATGCATAAAGCACCACAGGAACCCTGAAATTTGATATAAAGCCACAGTAAGTTGAGAAAGAATAAAAAAGTGCAATGGGCACATCAACCTTGAAAAAGCTCTTTTAAACTGATAGTACTGTGAGGTGTCATTACCCTTTGTCAGCCAGCTACCTGGCCTCATAAATCAGCTATGGCAACCAAATGAGAACACAATGTAAAATCAGCACTATGCTGACTTGTCTACTACTGACTAGCAAGTGGCTTCCCAAGGTTTTGAGGTCACATTCAAAACTACAAATTTACTGCAATCAATCATGTTAATTAAAAAAAAAAAAAAAGTCACTTCAACAGAATTAAAGCTTGCAAGTACCATTCTGTAGAGTTTGTGCTCGTGACTCCTTTCCCAGATTCGCATGGAATCCTCCTCCCAAAGTCGGTGTTTTGCCTGCACCTATTGAGGAAGAAAAAAAACAAAAGCACGTCAAATGCAATACCTGAATTAAAACACTACACCAAACTTAATGAGCCACTGTGCTCTGTATCTGTATAATTTACAAGATGATAGATTACAGTAAGGAGAACTCTGTCAGGTTCTTAAAGGACTTAAGATGGAGCGCGAGCCCTGTGCCACTCAGTTCCCCCTCAGGACCTCCCCAGTCTCAGCTCCAATTAAAAACATTGCATTCCTTATTTGGGGCAGAAAACAAAAATCAGTGTTGTAAAATATTGCTCCAAGTAAAACAAGAAAATTTCTTAATTGTATTTTTTGTCTGAAAAATATTCAATACAGAATTTTAATAGCTGATTACTAGCACTACAGCACATAAAAACATGGTTAACATTCAATACTAAGAGTGTAGGCTACTATAGACATAACACGCACTTAAAATAACTTCAGTTTAGCATCAGACACACAGAGAGAAGCTTAGGCTACAAAATGTGCAAGTCTGGAACTGCTACGTTTACACCCTGAAAGGCTGGAGTCTAAAATAAGTCTGCCTTGTGAATTAGCACAAACTAGAGGCTGGTTTATGCATCTGTGCCAACGCTGAGACTCTGAATGCAGAGTCCTCTGGGAGTCAATGGAGCTACTCATGCAAACGAATCGTGCAGAGCAGGGAATTAAACTACTGAAGACAGAAACAGTCTCTTATTAAAACAGAAAGTTTTTTTGTTTTTGTTTTTGTTTTTTTTTTTTAAATAATCAGGCTTCCCCATGCAGGATGCTAGAATCGATCAGCTTAACAGCGAGACCAAAAAGCCAAACTGCAAAGATTGAAAACCAGTAATTTGTTGGTAACTGCACTTCAGTCTGCCCTTCAGAATAGGAAACATCACCTTGTTTCCTGCCATGCCTACAGTTCTCCTCAAGTTCTTGTAGCTATGGCTCCCAATGTCACACCTGTGAGCATCTCAGGGCACTGCAGCCACACACCTGCATAAGGCACCTCCAGAGTGGGCCCAGCAAAGGAGAAACTGCAGCCTCTGATTAGATTCTCCTGACTAGTCTCTGAGCAGCATGTAATAAACATCTTGATGAGAAAAAATAGAAAAGCTTATATTCTGGTACAATCTTCTGCAAGCCTTCCAAGCTGATTTCTCCATACAGCCTTTAAATTAGGTTTTCAATGCTGTTCACAACAGAAACTGACTTCACCTTTGCTTCATTAACAGAGCCTTTCAACACACAATAATCAGAAGCTCTCACATAAATGCCCCACAGCTTAAGTACTTCAACATCCTAATTAGAGAGGAAAATGTTGGGTGGTGACCTCCCTGCTGGATGCAGACAGGGGCCTCCCAGCCCTGGGACTGCTGCAGGCTGCACACCTTGCTGCTCTCAGACAGCATCTCTCCTTTCCAGGAACACTCCAAAGCAAAGGATCCGGCAAAACAGGGATTATTACCACATCACTCCAGCACTGACACAGGTTTTGGCACACAATTAATACTATTGGTTTATCTGGCAAAAATACAGAGATGGCGATAACAGTTTTATGCACGTTTTCCTCAGCAACAAATCTAAATCTTCAGAAATTTTCTTTCCTAGTCTCAATTTTTTTTTTTCCTCCCTCACATCAATGTTTGCTATAGGATGGGCTCTCACAGGTCCTTCAGCTGGGGAAACAGCAGCTGGCCAAAGGCACCCCTGGCAGCTGCCTCCTCCTGGCCACATCACCTCAGAACACTCAGACAGTCCTCCTCCTCTTTGAATACGTAAAAATACCAAACTCCATGGACTATCGTTGTCAAAATGGCTGTACTGCACTTTTACACGTCTCTGTTACTGATGAGAAGCTAACAGTCATATGGCAGTGAATGCTATTAAAAAAAACTTACTCAGAAGCAGAAATCCAGAAAGATCACAAAAGAAGATTAAGATAAGATTTCAGCTGTTCAGATCCCTTTCATTACATACCATTTTAGGCCTGGTCTAAAAGCCTTTTCTTTCAAAGCTATAGAGTCCACAGCAGATACTGACAGAGCACTCTGAAAGACAAGCTCTGCTATCAGAACTGACGTGTCCATTTCTCAGCTAGTTAACTGGAAACACTGTACAGCTTGAGTTAGCACTTGGCTTTGAAAAATCGACAGCAAACAAGTCTGTTGGGGACTTACCCTCTCACAACTGCCAACTAATGCTGTGAAGTCTCACCACCAGCTTTAATCTTTGCAAGGAGAATGCAAACCAAACCCATTAACACAACTGTACAGCTGGGTAATAAGAGAAACTATTAAAAAAAGACTAAAAAAGAAATCTGTGAAATCATCAAATTAATTTAGAGACCAAATAAAAACCCTACAGAGCCAGTCATTAAAGTCGTACAAAGAAAAGGAACAGCAATCGCTAGGCACAACCATATTAACATTCCAGCTTAACTGAAGTTTTTACATTTCTTGACCTTTTCTATTTTTCCTCTACAACTTCAGAAGTGAATTAAACAGGCTCTTGGTTTTTCACATTCAGCTTTCAAGACAGAAAAAAAAAAAAAAACACCACCCCACATCCGAGAAGTATTTGGTGTCTGCAAGTACTGCCTGCCAAGTCTTCAACGTTAACACTAACATTTCCCTAAGCCAACACAAATACCCTCCTCAGGGAGGTGGTGCCTCCCAAGGCAAACCATCATCTACCCGTTATTTTTGGAAACTAAACAACTCTCAAGCTGTGCTTCACTGAAGGCTTGCTTCCTCTTCCAGTTAGCTTTGGACACTGTGGAAGTTTTGAATTAGAACAGTGGAGTTGAAAGGGATCTACAAAGACCATCAAATCCAACCACCTATCATTTTTGCTTGGACAACAGAAGGCATGGAGAGGTATCCCAGCCAGCTCAGCAGTACAGCTGCTCAGTTTTTGTGGTCCTCTCAGCAGGATACAGTGAGGCATAAGACAAGGAGAACCAAAGATGATGGACCAATGGACCACTCTAGAGGTGTTCTAAGCCAGGCTGGATAAGGCTGTGAGCAACCTGCTCCAGAGGGAGGCGCCCCTGCCTAAAGCAGGGAAGTTGGAACTAGAGGATTTTAACAGTCCCTTCCAATCCAAACCATTCTATGATATTCCTGGAAAATTGATGACGCTTGGACAAAACTCAGACAGATCCATCCCAAAACCCCACACCCACAGCAGGGGTTTGGACTAGATGATCTCAAAATGTCCCTTTCAACACAAAGCATGCTACCCCCGTCATTACCGCAGTGCTGAAGCACCATGCCTACCTACTTTGCAGCCAACAGCTGCCATTCTCACATCTGCTACTCTTGCCACGTGCAGGTCAGGCCTTGGCACCTTGGCCAATTCTGTTTTGCTCTATTGACTTGCCAGCAAAGAAATACACGCCACTCAGCTTTTCTACGAAAGAAATATTCCTCAAGATGTAAAAAGAGCAAGCAAAGGTTGAATTCTGTGACAACCCTGAAAGACAAACAGATGACAGCAGAAACAGCACTGATCACATCCTCCGATATAGAGGGTGCAAAGAGCTGCTACTTGGGCACCTGCAGCAAAAGGGCAATTTCCTGCGAGCCACCGAAATGCTGAGTTCCACATTCAACACCTGGAGAAGAAACAGCACTAATCCCCGAGTTATAGATTTTGTTTCCCCTAAATGAAAGAGCTAGTGAAGACTGGGAATGAAGCTGCTTGCAGGCGGGTCTGAAGTATGCCTGCTATTTGCTAAGATCAGGGTTATGAAAATCCTTCCCTGCAAAAATTAAAACTGAAGAACTTCAGCCCTTTCTTCTGCACATGACAGGAGAAAAAGCTTCTGTCTGAAAGCCACGTACTTACAGACCCAACATAAAATCTGTACACAACGCAGAATGCATCACACCAATGGTTTGACAGCCTGGGTCGGCTCAGTAGTCCAACATAAAAAATTAATCAGCTTCCCATTAAAGTTAACAGTAAAAATCAAAAGGAGAGTAGGTCAATGTTCCATCACATCTCATGCCCACAACAGCAAAATGATGTAATTAAAGTCTTCTGAACACACATAGCTGCTGTGACTGAAAGATGTGTTTTCTCAGCCATTGTTACAGGGAAGCTCACAGGCCTGCATATATGCTCCACATCTGCTGAAACGCTACTGCTGAATACAAACATAAAGACAAACTTTTAATCTAGTGCATCATAGCTAGTTATCTCTGTGCTTATTTCATAACTACCATCCCAAGGGATAAATGCAGTGTTGCATCCACCACACCCAAATTTAAGGCTGTACAAGTCTATGAAAGATGGTCCGTATCCAAGTTACGTGCAAGATGGAGCATTTACACGACCGACAGCAGTATAATCTGCAGCACTCCAAGCAACTGCTTGTTGCCACCACAAGGACAGCATGTAAAAGACTCAGCGCTGGGGAGAAAAAAAAAAAAGAAAACCACAACCCTATACACTTAGCTCTGATGCAAGATTGCCACCTTGAGGATTTCAGAAGAGAAGCAAGAAGTCATCAGCTCATCTCTCTGAAATGTAATTATTTTCTGCATGAAGAAGATGCATTTCCCCTCTTCCTTCCCAACTCAAGATGATTATTAATTAGTTTTGTAATAAGGAAAGTGAAAACCTGTGTACCTGCTTCAGTTTGTTCCACTCTTCTGAACTTCCCAAAAAGGTCTGAAAAGTCCAGTAAACTCATATTTTCTTCTGTTTTGCTAATTATATCGTGACTACTCATGGTTTACATCATCTCTAGGAATCTGGACTGCAACTAAGTGGAATTCTGCTGATACTTTTATTTTCAGATCCAGTGATTTTATTTTAAGCATATGTATCACTGTTGGAATCCACTTTAGGATTCAAGGCTGCACCGTAACTAACATTTTATGTCAGGCTGTCCATATACCCCGCATAAGAACTCATTAACAACTAATAATTTAAAACAAAACACCTATTCCCACCACCTCTGAAATACTGAAAAATGCATAACAGTCCTCTATCGTGCATAA